AAGAGGATGGAATCGGAGCCGGTGCCGATTGAGGCGACGTGCATATCTATGCCATTGGTGGAGATGACGGTGTGCTCGATGTTCTCCATTGTTGAGATTTTTGAAGTTTGATTTTTCTGTGATTTGTGAATTTCTCTCTCGATTGAACGATGAAAGTTTCAGAAGTGAGGGATTTGATGACTCTATTTGGCGGTTAATATAGAGGCGGGAAGCCAACGATTTTGATTTTCCCCCAATTTTAAGTTTCCTTTTTTCCTTTTTCTTAAGGGTAAATTACAAAAATGCCCCAAGACTATTTCATTTCATTTGTATTAAAAAAAATATGTCGTTTCAAAAGTTTCAATATTATCATTTTCCTTTTCATAAATATTTTAAGCAAACATCCGTTCATGTTTGTAAAGGAAAGTTAATGTGATTGGATCTGAAACGATATTGTAATTAAGGTAGAAGCTTACTCGGAACAATGTGACATACAAAAGATATTTATTCCAATGTAGATGATATTGTACCATTCAACAGCTTTTCAAAATGTGTTTTATATGTTTACGTGTCCCGTTGTGTCATATTTTGCGATGTTAATTTTATGTTAGAAACACTTATGGATATTCACTCACAAAGTTTATTTGAAATTTTATAAAAGGCGAAAGATAGTACTAAAATTTATAAATTTTGAAACAAAGAATTCAAGAAAATAGTTGGGAGTGGTTCTAACTTCTAACCACTTTTGCCCTTTTACCTGGGGTGTTCAAAAAATTGGTGACTCGTCCAACCCAACTTGTGGATTGATTTTTTTCAGAACCGAAAATTCGATCCGGTCACGGTTAGACCAATTTTTGGTCGGTTCAACCTGAACCAAATAATAAATTAAAATATATATATATATATCAAAACTAGGGTTTGCTCTTTACTTTATCAGTCTCCCAACGCCTCCCACCGTCTTTCATCTCCCTCTAACCCTCCCCCGTCTTTCATCTCCCTCTAACCTCTCTCAATCTCCTCATTTGACCTCTTCGCTTCCCCTTTGTGAACGCGCTACAAGTGCTTTTCCTCTCACTTTGTTTCTGTCTTGTTTTTAACCTTTCTTTTGTTGGTCTGAAAAATCAGTCCCTCAAGCCCACAAACTTTGTTGCGATTTTCACGTTTCTTTTGCTATTTTTCCATATGGGTTTTCCATCCTTCAATAATTTTCCCCCCTCTCACTTAAGTCTCTTTGTGTTCTATGTTACTGTTATCATTTTTCCAGTTACAGCTCTCTTTTGTCGGAACTCAATGACCCAACCCGACCCAACCTGAAAAATGTAGGGTTGGGTTGGCTATCAAATTCGGTTTGATCGAGTCCACAAACTAACCAACCCGAATTTTCGGGTTGGTCCACAAAGATCTCTTGACCCGACCCAACCCCACCCATGAACACCCCTACCTTTTATTTAAAGCTCTCTTATTTATCGTTCTTTGTTTTCCCGTTAAAAAACAGTATTTTATAAGTATTATTTTAATTACAATTTTAATTCAATATTTTAAAATTTAAATTATTGATTTCTATCTCCAAATTTTCAAGACTTGACCTCTAAACTATGTTATGGACTTTTGATTATGCATCCAATAAACGTTATTGTCTTTCCATATTAGTTATTGCCTTTCTATATTCGCTAGTTTTTTAATTTTGAAAATATAAATGTAATATATAATTTTAAAATTATATATGATTAATAAGGAAATGGAGGATAATTTGCACATCATATAAAAAATATGACTGTTAATAGCATAAAAAAGTTCTTTTAACATCTTAATAATAAACTATAGAGTTTGATCACATATGTAATTTGAAATGGGGAGGTTTCTTTTTTTCTTTTTGAGAATATTGTATTGCAATTGTGGGGCAGATATTCGATTCTTTAACCTATAGAGAAAAGCTTAGTAAGATGTGATTATTGTGATTATTGTTATCTTACAAAGAGATATTTTAGCGTTAAATATGATTGGTTAATTTATTTTTTGAATTCATGATTGATTAATCTCTATAATGCCAATATTTTGGTAGGAAGTTAGGAACGTAGTTATATAATCTCTCAATTTCGCAAAGGCCCATTTCTTTGAGGTGAGGTATAAACCCCACGTGCTGACATTTTTTCTTTAATAAAGTTTTTTTTTGTGCTCCAAGAAAAAAAATTTACTTGAATTGGTCAAGAGAATATAGTAGCTTTTTTAAAACGAAGAAAATTAGCAACATTAAAAAAGAAAAGAAAAGACGGATGTTAATGCAGAATGTGTACAAATCATGGTGACCCCCTACTTAGATTTAATATCCTAGGATGGATATAAAAAAAATTACATATACAAAATTAATAGTAACTAAAAAATATAATGATATATTTGACCTTTAATCTAGATGCTATTCAAAATCTTTTCTTAATTCAAGGCGGAGATTCAAACTCAAATAAATCCAATATCTTTATATATATATATATATAGAGGCACCATTATAATCAAAATCTTAAAGGTAAACAATTAAATTTAAATATTTAGTTAAACTCTTATGCAGACATTATTACAAATAAATAATTTATTCGAAATAGCTCAAAGTAGTAAGAAACTTCCCCATCACATGATATACAGAACATATCGTTTTCCATTCATAATTTTAGAAATCACACCAAAATGCTTCCCTCGAGTCTTTAAAAATTTTGTAACTTACCATTTAGAAATAAATTTGTCACCCTAACAAATGAACAAATTTTAACCAAATTAAAATTACAAATCTATTCTTTTCAAAAAAATTAAAAAAAATAAAAGAACACATCTATTAGAATATATAGCACTCATACAAGAAAATTTTATACATTTTATATGCTTACAAAACAAGTTTGATGCTGTAGTAAAAATTTACCCTATTAAAATCAATTACAATCATTTTGAATAGTAAAGATATAAATAAAAACGTTCACAAGTGTTTGACATGTATCAAACAAGTATCAAATGACTGATTCGTATCCTCTACAAACCTGCTACCCAAACCCGAAGCAATTACAAGTTCGTCGGTATGATTAGTGTAACAAATCAAGATCTCTTGGTAACTGAAGCACCAAAATAATCACAAAAGCATAATCCATAACCATACAACTCACTCTAAATCAATCAATATGCATTGAATCTCAAATAAATTCCATTAAGCAAACATGGCTGACAAAACATAATGAACATAAACTAACAAAATTACCAGGCTTAAAAATCCTTGGTCTTGGATGTGAAGTAACAAGGTCCAAAGTAACAAAAGGCTGAAAGCCTCCTCAAAACTACTCTAGAATAATAGGGACACAAGAACCATCAGAAGTAAACCTTCCTACGGCACTCCTGAAAAATTCTCACTTCTTCGATTTCTTTGATGCCCTGGGTATAACACAACGATATTTAGTATCATGGCTGAAGCAAGATTTAAATACATTTTCACAATTGATACTTACTGAGTTGATTGAGACCCAGCAGCAGGTTGGGCTGCTGATGCCGCGGATGATTGTTTCTCCCCAGGTCCCTACACATTGAACAAATACAATTATAATGATGTTGAGAGTACGAAAGTAATCGGGTTAGTAATATTCAAGAGTAAAGGGGGGAAAAACCTGTGCCAATCGTTCCTCCCTTCGAGCAATTTTTCTTTCCCTGCTGGCTTTGTTCTTGGCCCTCTTGGCCTCAAATTGATCTGATAATGTCTTCTCTCTAGCCTTCTCAGCCTTCGACTTGTGGATGCTCTCCATTAGCACACGCTTGTTCTTGAAGACGTTACCCTTCACTTTCATGTACATGTCATGATACATATGCTTGTCAATCTTCTTAGACTCTCTATATTTGCGAAGCAATCTCCTGAGAACACGCATTCTCCGCATCCAGAGTATCTTGGTTGGAAGCCTTGCCTCCCTAGTACCCTTACGCTTACCTGAATACAGTTGATAAAAATAATTTTAATACAAAAACAAAGAATAGTCCCGTGCCTCATTAAGTTCGCAACTTTTTGTCGCGAAAAGGAAAACTTTATGGGTATGTGCATAAGAAGTACTGAATATTATTGAGACCCGGAAAAATGATCATCATAAACGCTTCTCTAAAAGTGCATTCATATATATAAATTAGGACTTTGGAAGAAAAGTACCATATCCTGAGTGGCGACCCTTCCTCTTCGCCTCCTTCATTCGGCGTGCTCGGGAACGAGAGTGGATTTTGGTTGGCTTCCTGATGATGAAACCATCCTTCACCAACTTTCTTATATTTTGGCCTGTACTCACCAGTCCAAACATTAATTAGAAACACACCACAAACAGTTCTATAACATAATTTGCATCAGGCATGAATGATTACAAATACATAACAAAGATGACAATAATCTAGCAAGAATAAAAGTACACTTCATGCATATGACAGACATACATTGCTCCTAACAAAAAAATAGGGCTTGTGGAATTCAAAAGAGTAACAAGAGGAAAAACTGAAACCGGTTCCATGGAAAAGCGAAGAAGCGCCTTCCACACTGAGTGCCGAATCTAAGAAGAACGAAGTTTAAACATTCCAATCCAATAAAAATTTAGTTTAACAACATGATTCTCATCTCTCAGCAATCTGCTACAGATGATAAAATAAAACTACTGCATCAAGTAATTACCAGTTTCAACGCGATAGGAGGACCAGGAGTTGAGAGAGGGAAAAGGAATTAATTCAAGTTTCAACTAGTATTGCGATAACCAAGAAAAACAACATTAAACGCATAAAGCAACGACTTCCCAGACAAAACCTAACCGAGGGGGAAAATTTTCAGATCCGAAAACGTGTTTTCATCGGAGTAATCCAAGAAACACAGAACAACATCCAGATTGTGAAACCGAAAGAACTGAAGTTCAAGCAACAACATGGAGATACACCAAACAATGAACAGAGCAAAAGAATCGAATCTAAACGAAGAGAGGAAGATGGAGAGAGCGTACGAGAGTTGGCCATGGAGATTTCGTTGCATTCATTGGGATCGAGCCAGACCTTGCCTCTGCCGCATTTGAGGACGCTGGCGGCGAGCCTCTTCTGGAGCTTCAGGGAAACCATTGTTTTTCGCCCTTTGCCGGCCGCTGGTTGCAGAGAAGATAACCTTATGAAGGAGAAAGCGGAGTGGCCTCTAGGGTTTTAGAAGCGACCATTTTATTGTGGGCCTGTGGCTGTGATACAAAAACTTGGCCCTTTTACAAAATTATGCCATTCAAAATTCGGAATTTGGAAAATGTGATTTATACAATTTTGTTTAATTTTAGAAATTGTTTATAATTGGCTATAGAATGTAAGATCTTTTTTAATAACATAATTGAAATAAAACATTGTTAGTTAAAACAAATATTTAACACTATTTTTTGTAAAAGAAAAAAGGAAAATATTCTTTTGGTCCCGGAAGTGTTAACTGAACTGGTGAATGACCTTAGATAGGTTATTTATATTGGTCCTCATTGACCACTTGAGTCATCCTATGATGGTTAAAACGAATTTATAGTTGAAAAATTAGGAACCAAAAAGCTACTTTTTCAAAAAAAAAAAAAAAAAAAGTAATTAAAAAGGGATTATATTTGGCTAATATGAGTATAGCTGCATAAGTATCTAAAATTGTCCCGAAGATCGACAATTCACCGCTATACAATTATTAAACTAAAGAAAAGGAATTTAATTTGTAAAAAATTTCAATTTGTAATAAATGTGTAAATATTTACCATAAAAAAGGGTTATATATGAAAATTTGTTCAAATATTATTTTGGCCTTTACTTTTAAAACTCTATTTTGGTTCTTCTACTTTTTAACTTTAGTCCATTTTAGTTTCGGTATTTTGTAAATGTTCGTTTTGATCACTATACTTTTAAAAAGTGACTATTGAGATCTATGTTTGTAAATTCTTATCACAAATTCTATATACAATAGAAGTTCTGTAGTACAAGATTATGACTACATTTCAGGAATTTATTGAGATTAATGTTTGTGCTAAAAAAAATGATAAGACAAAAACAATAAATTTTTAAAAGTACAAATACCAAAATAAACATTTTTAAAGTACAAGGATTAGAATAGATTAAAATTGAAAGTAAGTGATTACATTTGAACATTTTAAAGTACAAAGACCAAAATAGACTAAAACATATATTTTCATGCATTCATTTTAATAAGTCAGAACCAAACAACAAAAAATCAAAATTTCTATTAAGTACTTTTAAAAAAGAAATTGGAGAATGGATTAGAAATTTTCTTATCGTAATTAGGTAGTCTAACTTTGTCATACATAAATTTACGATTGGGTATATATGTCAAATACCATTGAACTATGTTCGCTTTCACTGCGATAGAACTAATTTTAACATCTACCAAAGAGGGAGAATATAATTAAAAAATGTTAAAATTCAAGAAACTAAGCTAAAACGATAGAGATTTAATTAGAAATATAAGAACTTCTTTATTATACAAGTTTATTATTTATTTTCAGACTCACTGAATAAATGTTTTGCAAATATATGATAAAAATTTTGACAAATATATTATTTTAGGTTATAAACCCTATTTCATTATATTATAAATTATATAATTATTATAAAATAACAAGTGTACAAAATTTATAACATATATGTTAATAAATTAATTAATAATGTTTTAGATTTAAAAAAATAGTTGGTAACTACATACTTCACAAATGTATATCATTGTACTAAAAAAATATTTTTTAACACCTTCAACAATTTTTTAAAATTGAGATTCAATTTTCCTATCAAACACATTAAAAAATAGGAAAACAAATACACTTTTGGTTCCTGAGGTTGGGAGTAGGTACCAGTTTAGTCACTGAAATTTCAAAATGAACACTTTTTGGTCCCTAAAGTTTGAAAATTTGTTCTAAATGGTCCCTAAGCGTTCATTGACTGTTAGTTGACATAAAGAAAAATGACTACTGGTAGGGACCGCCTCCGCCCCCGCCCCCAAAATTTTGGGGGGAATCGTCCCGATATATTTGCTCTTTTGAAAAAAATTTATAAATATTCTATTTCTTTAAAAAATACAAACTTCTCTTTTTCCTGGATGGCGTAAAGTTTAATTAAATACAAGTACAATGTTTTACAAGATTATAAAAATATTTATAAAAATGAATAATATTAATATTATTATATATAAAAATATAAAAACTAATATTAAATGGGGATGGGGTGACCCCATCCCCGCCCCGTTCTCGTCGGGAACCCTGATTAGGATCTCTCGTTTGACTTCGTCCTCGGTCAAATTGGAGATTCCTCGACCCAATCGAATCGGATACTGCGGGTATTTTTGCCATCCCTAGTTACTTGACTTTTCTAACTTGTTTTTTTAAATGATTTGTAAAAAATAATTAATTTTTACCTAATTATGTGATGTGATGTGACATTTTTTTATTCATTGTTTATGTTTTTTTTGCAAAGGAAGTATTTTTTTTCCTTTCTGTCTCTTTATCTTCTTGATGCTGTCTATTGCTGTCGTTCGCCGTCGTCGTCCACTGTCGTTGTTACCTGCCGCCTTGTGGCCATCTACCGTCGCTCACAAGAGAGAGAAGCTCTCTCTCTCCCCTCGTTCCAGATCTAAAATGGGAAGAGAAGAAGAGCTCTTCCCTCTCTCCGACGACAAGGTCTCGTCACTGTAGAGAGAGAAAAGCTCTCCCTCTCTCTGGGAGGCAGTGACGATGGACAACGACGGTAGATGGCAACAAGAAGATGAAGAGAACAAAAGAAAGGAATTAAAAAAAATGCCACGTCAAATAACAGAATCATGTAAAGAGTAATATTTTTTTACAACTCATTTAAAAAATGCAAATTAGAAAAATCGAGTAACCTGTTAATTGTTACGTCATTTTTCCATTAAGTCAACTAATAGTCAAAGAATGCGTAGGGACAATTTAGAACAAATTTTCAAATTTTAGACACTAAAAGTATTTATTTTGAAAGTTAGAGATCAAATTGGCACCTACAACCTCAGAAGAGATCAAAAATTTATTTTTTCCTTAAAATATTGAAACATAAAATACAATTTGTTGACGTCTTGAAAACAGTACGCGTACCTGGGCATAAAAGGCGAAAAGGGTCACCTCTTTCGGTTAAAAAAAAGAAAAGAAAAGAATAATGCATACGTATTGATTCGAACACATGAACATGTTGATCAAATAGCTGTTAAGTCGGCATCATCGTGTGTCCAAGTATTCAATTGATCAACAGTAGCCGATCAAACGGCCCATCTCCCTCCCTCTTTCTCTCTATAAAAACCCAAAATCAATAACAATTCTACGCAGCGAGCTCCAAAATTAAGATATTTTGACGATAATATGGCTCTCGTAAGGCAATTCTCTGCAACTCCGGTGCTGCTGCTGCTGCTGCTGGCCGTTTCTTCCGCGGCGGATTCTTACGGCATCCCCGACGGGGAAGATTACGCGCCACCCAAGACTGTACGCGGAGCGGGCGATCATGACGGAACGGCGCCGTTTCCAACCACCCTGCCCATCTACGAGAAACCGCCCCCGTCGTACGGCGAGGAAGCGCCGGCGCCGCTCACCATCGCTGTTGAAGGAGTTGTTTCCTGTAAAACTGGCTCCAAATATTCTCCACTCAAAGGTTAACTCCTCGAACCTCTCTTCTATATCTTTTCATTTTCTTTTTTTTTTTAATATAAAATTAGCAGCTCGTTTGTTTTTTATTTTCTCCTACCTAATTTTATTATGAAATCTAAATATTTGACCGAGTATTTAAGTTCCTCGTTTTCCTGTAAAAATATTTTCAAAATTATATAGAGGTTTTTTTTATTATTATCGTACATTTTCAAGATTTTGAATATGTCTCGAATCAACACCTACCACATAATCTTTAAATAGTATAGTCACCATGTGCCACATAAGTATATTAAATTGATAGAATGTCAACATTAAAGATTTATTAGACAAAAAAATTAAAGAGTTCGATGATTTATTAATTCTTTTTATAAAATATATAAATTATACAGGTACCACTAAATTTTAGAAATCTATTAAATTTATTATAATTTCATAATTTAACATTTAAACATAGTGATTATCTAATAAAACTGTTGTGAAGAAGGTTTTAGAAATTTAAACTCTTTTTACAGCTGCATTATTTAATAGTTTACAAGTTGCAACATTAATTCAGTGGTAATTAATTAACATCCAAAATTTAACCTTCTTTTTCTCTCCTGAGTGACGACTATTTTATCGGTTCATACAGGTGTTGTAGCGAGAATCACATGTGTAGCTTTGAACGAAAAAGGTAATGAAGTGGCTCCTTTCTCATTCTCCAGTTTCCCAACCGACGAGCATGGCTATTTCTTGGCCACATTGTCACCTTCCAAGCTCAAGGGCAAGGCTAAGGTGACCCAATGCAAGACCTTCCTTCCACCTTCGCCATGCGAGGACTGCAAATACCCGACCGACATTAACAACGGCGTCACGGGTGCTCTGTTTAGTTCTTTTCGCATTCTCACGAACAAGAAGATGAAGTTGTACTCTGTTGGACCTTTCTTCTACACCTCAGAACCAAACGCGTCCCCTATACCCGATGGTTACTGATCATTACAATTTTAAGAAAAATATATTTCTTTCGTTTGTTCCTTTTTTCTCTCTTTTCTTTTAAGATTGTTTCAGTTTGGTTTCGTTGTTGTTCAATTGTTGAAAAATGTCACTGTGGAGGGAGAAGTTATTCAATGCAGTCGTTTTCTCATAATAAAGATGTATTGTCAAGAAAAATATATATTTCTTATTTTCTTTCTCTTGTCTTTAAATAATGATTTTAAAAAATGTCTAGAAAATTCCCTAATTAACTTTTGTCCAGACGTTTTTTTAAAAAATGTCGATAAAAGAGCTTATTCCAACAACTTTTCAAGTGTCGGCAAAAATACGTTTGGGAGAGATACAAATTCTTGTAGTTTTATAGCGTAAATTTAACAATCTCATTTTGCCATCCATATAATAAACAACTTCTTGTGTGTGTGGGAGGGTTTTGTCCATTTATGTTTGATTATGATTTTTATATATATATTTTAAAGATAAAACTTGAGGCGAGCAACCTTATTCTTACCACCAACCTTATTCTTACCACCATTGATGATTTGACAACTCATTATATTTTAAAATAAATTTGAGTTTTTGTATTTCTCTCATTTGATTGCCAAATATTTAATGGTGGTAAGGACACTATTGCTCTTTACTAGTGAAGAGTCTCCATTTTTTTAATTTTACAAAGTTAGAGAGAACAAACTAGTAAGAAAAGCGTTAAAATATTTACTTGTTTACATATTATGAGCAAATATATATTACTTTTGCTATTATTACAAAAAGTTTCATTTTTGTTCTAAAAATTGATTCGATTTCTCAACTTGAATACATTAGGCAGAAAATATTATTAGAGGGAATAAAGGAGTAAGCAATTTTAACAATTTTTTTGGGTGAAAATACATAATATATTGTTATAAAATGTTTTATCTGAGTTCTTGACCAAGTCGAAAAGATTTGTAGTTTAGCTTTTTAAAGTGAGAAAAATCAAGATTTGTAGTATGCAACTTTTATAAGTTTATTTTTGTTAATTTTTTTATTATAACGAATTCTTTCTTTCCACTTGTGATTTTTTTTTGTTTGTTTGTTTGTTATTTAGTTATTTTCTACGTGCTCTTGCTATTATTTAATTTTAAAAAATAAAATAAATATCGATGAGATGAAATGAAACAAACACAACAATTTAATATATAGACAAAATATTATGTAAACTACATTTTTGAAGTTTGAAGGCAAATATTTATTTTAATAATCTAGATCCTAATTAACCAATTTTAAAAACTTCCCTAAGTTCAATGCTCTTCCTCATCTGTAATATAATATTATATAAAAAATATTTAATATTCTAGACATTGAAATCATAGATAGATAATTAATATTCAAAATATACTAAACAAAATCTACCATTCAAACAAACTATATTACACTACAAGAATATATAAATATATTCAAACAAACTATATTGCAAGAGTATTTTTTTCAACGTAACAGAAATTACCAGCATAATATAAAGCTATTATCCACGAATTATTGGTTTTATATTCATGCTTTATTTTTGCATCACGAGAAATTTTTGACAAAATATATTCTTGTCTCTCAAGTTTGAGTTAGGTGTCTATTTGATCATTGAAGTTTTAAAATGAACACTCTTGGTCCCTAAGATTTGAAGTAGGTGTCTACTTGGTTCCTAAAGTTTCAAAAGAACATTTTTGATCTTTGAGATTTAAAAGTAGGTGTCAACTTGGTTCCTAAAGTTTTAAAATGAACACTTTTGGTCCATGGAATTTGAGAAATAGTTCTAAATGGTTTTTGAGGTTTAAAGTAGGTGCCAATCTGGTCCCTGAATTTTTACAGTGAACACTTTTCGTCCTTGAAATTTGAGAAACAGTTCTAAATGGTCCATGAACTTTTTTACCGTTAATTAACTAATATTAAAATAACGTGGCAAATTACAATTAAATTGTTTATTATAGTTGTTAATGTGGCAAATTGTATTAATTAAATAATACATGTGTAGGTGATGATACTTTCTCTCTCCTCTCTCTTTCTCCTACCGTTTTCCGGCATCCACCACGTCTTTGCCGCCTACCAAACATATATTATTTAATTAATATAATTTGTCACATCAGCAACTACAATAAACAATTTAAATTCAATTTGTCACGTCATTTTAATATTAGTTAATTAATGGTAAAAAAAATCAGGGACCATTTAGAATTACTTCTCAAACTTCAAGGACAAAAAGCGTTCATTTTAAAACTTCAGGACCAAGTTGACACCTACTTTAAACCTCAAGGACAAAAAAATGTTCATTTAGAAACTTCAGGGACCAATTAGACACACACCTTGAACTTTAGAGACTAAAAGTGTTTATTTTGAAACTTTAGGGACTAAGTAGACACCCACCTCAAATCTCAAGGATCAAAAATGTATTTTAACCTTTCTTTTTACGAACAATGTGTCAACTTAGAATTAGAAGAATTTGTTTTCTTAAATATTATACTCATATCCATCATTTTCATACCCTTAACTTAGGCCACTAAAGTCCCATAATGTTTGTTCCCATCGTGTATCCAACAACTTTCATATAATATATATAATAACCAAATAAAATTCGTAATTGTATAGAAATGTATGCATATACATGCATATTATAGCTGGACCATGAAGCATATTATATAACTTTTATTTTATTTTAAGGGGGGAGCTTCGATATATTATAAAAGCCCCCTCAGAGCTGAAACCCAAATCAATTCTTTTGAATATTATCCTTTCCATCAATATTGAAAATGGCTGTTTGTTAATGGCTTCTTTAAATTTAGTGCTGATCTTTTTGCCACTTTTGGGCATTGCTTCTTCAGCTGGGGATAACAATGGTGGTGGGTATTCTGGTCTTTTGACACCCAAATTGGATAAAGAAGAAAGGCTTCTCTCTGCCATGATTGGTATCCAAGGGATTATTCTTTACAAATTTGGCTCAACAATTGCCCCTCTTCAAGGTAAAGTACTTAACAATATGGTTTTAATTTACATCAAATTTTCTATATCTTCTTTTGTGATTTGGACTTTGAACTTGAATATGTGATGGCGGAGTCTTTTTTCTTCTAAGATGTTCATTGGACGGGTGTTTTCTAACCGAGTTCATAAAAATAGTGTCAAGGATTCCATATCTTCAAGGGACTTAACAAAATAAATTTATAATTAAGATATATGAGCTACTTCTCTCCTTGCCAATTGATTCTGAGATGCAATCTCACAAGTCTTGATATGATATTAGTGTCCAACAAGCTCAACCAAGCATATTTTTCTTGTGGATCATCCTGTGGTTACTGGATGATGGTTATAACAAAGCAGAAATTAAGAATATCCTATTTAATGTTTCCATGAGAGAGTATAGGAGGAATTGACTTTCCTATCTCACAACAATTCTCTCTTTCTTTCTTTTTTTTACTCGAACTTCCTTCGAATATAGGGTGAACTTAATTATTGTAATTAAGTTTTTCCTCTCTATTTGGAGCGCGTATCCTAATTGACTTCATAAAGGATATATAATACCTCCAAAAAGGGCGAGAACAGATTTATTAGATCAGAGCGCTTCCTCTTCTTTATATTTCTTTCTAGCTACTTGGTTTGTAGTATAGGGATATCTAGGTATTAGAACTTTGGCTCAACTTAAACGACTTCAATCTCAATCAACTTGTGGTTGATAGTTAAGGTTGTGTAATTAATACTTGGGCTAATATTGTTAACCGTGCTAATCTTAGTATATATTGGAAGTTATGCAAGAACATATCACTCGCAACTTTTTCCTCTAGACCTACCTGCTTTTGAAGTTCGGTCATCTATTTAATAATTAAGATTTCGGTCTTAGTATATACGAGTTCTTGAAAGTAAAAAAGCAATAACGAACCGATTTGTTTAATATTTTGCAGAAGCTGTGGCAAGAATAACATGCAAAACAGTGGATGAGTATGGGTATGAGGCAAAATCTTACTCCTTTCTAAGTGAAGCAAGTGATGCAAATGGCTACTTTTTGGCAACACTCTCTCCCCCAGAGGTAGAAGATAAGAGGGAGCTGAAAGAGTGTAGGGCTTTTGCAGAGCTCTCTCCATTACACAACTGTGAATCTCCTTCTGACCTCAACAATGGACTCTCTGGTGCTCTTCTCCATTCCTATGAATTTTTACCTCACAACAACATGAAGCTCTTCTCCGTTGGCCCTTTCCTTTTCACATGCCTGACGTAAAAGATTACGCTCTTGTTTGATAATCATTTTATATTTTAGTTTTTAGTTTTTGAAAATCATGTTTGTTTGCACGTAATTTATTTGGTGTGTTTTAACTTTCCTTAGAAATATATTTGAACTTTTAGCCAAATCTAAAAAAACAAAAATAAGTTTCTGAAGAGCATACGTAGTTTAGATTTTGAAAAAGTTTTTAAGAAGTAGATGTAAAACAAAAAAATTAAATACATACGTGAAAAGTAGTGTTTACCAAACTTAATTTTCAAAAAGTAAAATAATAAAAACCAAAACGATTATCAAATGACAAGAAGAATCGGAGATATAATGATCATAAGTTCAATTTTTCTATTTAGTTTAATAGCTGTAGCTTTATTTTGTTTGATTGTGTATTTGTTCTATCATTTGTTTGTTATATTGTGCTAAATCATCCTCAAGATCATTCAATAGTTATATCATCTCCTTGATAAATATTGTCAACATGAGTCTAGCTCAATAGTAATTGGTATCCGTCTCTTATTAAAAGATAAGGTCGAATTCCACCACTTCATCAATTGGACTAAAAAAATAAAATAATAAGATAAAGAAAATAAAATAAATCTACATTTTTGTAGTATCTCATAAAACCTTGATGGTATTTAATACTAAGAATTACTTAGAATCACGAATTAAAGTCCACATAATTAAATTTTCTAAAGTTTAGAACAAAACGTCAACCAAATTTATAATTTAACAAATAAAAAGTATAAAACCACCTTAAATATGTAAGACAACACTGCCATAACTACATGTTGACATGTTAATATATATATTCGACTTTTTGTATAAACAACGGTAAAATATAAAAAGTTAAAATGAGTTTAATTCAACAAAAACTGTCATGTTACTTCTCTCGAAGTTGGAGATTCGATCACCTATTGTCACATTTATTGTAATATAAAAGAAATCAGTCAAAACACAGGAAACTTGACCAAAAAAATACTCTAGGATAGAAATACTAATAATAAGCTTTCAAAAAAAAAAGAAGAAAAGAAATACCAATAATAAGATTTATAAGTTTTTTTTTAAATACTTCTTAAATTTAAAAATGGGTTAAAATATTATATTTTGATTAATGTACTTTTAAAAAGTGACCAAATCTTTATACAAATTCTATACTTAATGCAAACCTTTTAATATAAAATTATATCTATATTTTAAAAATTAATTAAATGTAGTGTCATGTTGAAATTATGATAAAAAAAGTTGAAGAAAAGACCATTTATGAAAAGTACATACATGAACTAAAATGGACAAAAGATAAAAATAGAGAAACGACTAAAATAAACATTTGCTCTGCTTTGCCGCAGATCCACTCAGGTTTACTTCTTCTTGATCCATCCTCTTTGATTCAGATTGTGTGACATTCAATGCACTTGATGTAGACCAGAAAGAGGAGGCTCCAACATGGGTTGGGCTAGGAGAGTAGCCGCCTCTTCATTTTCCTTCAGTCGATTTTGATACTTATCGTATCTCTTAGAGAGAGGTGCAGAAACTCTCTCTTGAAAGCACATATACCAAAATAATATTCAAACTTAACAAAAATACTTATTTATTAATTGAAATCATTTTTATAAATTCCTCAACTTCCCTAAACTTTTCAACAATATATATCAATATCAAGCCAACATGAGCATAATAACATATTTCTCTTTTTCTTTTAAGGTTGGAAGTTGAAATTGCATACCTCATATTAAAAAAAAGACGTAAGTTTCAATATTTTAAGGATAAGTCCTAATTGGGAGTTTTTATAGTACTACGAGAGTACACATTCTTTCCATTCACACTTTGATACACCATTGTGTGATATATTATTTTATTTCATGGTTCCACGTCATATTTTAAATGTTGTTGTGTTGACAAATAATAAATAAAAGTGTATAGAAAATTTTTCATATTCTTGTGCTACATGAAATTTTAACGTTCTAATAAGTGAGAGGATCTATCTAATTATTGTTAGAACATTGACGGGAAATTGGGGTTTCTAGCCTCATTATATAACTCATCTGGATTTTTGACCCATTTTTTAAAAAAACTAATTTGTGATCCCTACTTTTTAATTTGTGACCCCTTTCTACTTTTTGTCTTTGTAAAATTACCAAAATATCCTTGTTTATTTTAAGTAAATTTATCTACCAATCTCTCCTCCCAACCCTTAGCATTTTTTTTTTAAATTTTGAATCTAATATAGATTAATTTATTACTTAACAAACGAATCCACACAAAAAAAAATCTGAAGATTAAATTCTCCAATAAGTAAATTAGGGTGAAAAAAGATTTGCATGATTCAAGAATAAATGCTTGTTTCGGAATTAATTACAAAAAAAATTAAGGTTTCATAAATATCGTGCCAAAATTGCATTAAATGCTCGAGATTTAATTGACAATAAAGGCTAAAAGAAACTGGAATTAGGAGGGAGATAACGCAAAAAAAAAAAAAAGGAATTTGGGATCCCGAATCGGGATAGGAGGATCCCGGTCCGGGATTGAACCATCTCGGACAGGGATCCTCCTGTCCCGGTCCGGGATCCCAAATTCCATTTTTTTTTTTTTTTTTGCATTTTCACTCTTTTTCTCTCCTCTCCTCTTGGCCCTATTAGTATCAATTAAATCTTGAGCATGCAATATTGTCTCAAATTTTTTTTTTTAATCTTGACTTTTTTGTAATTAAATTCGCCCAAATTATGTAATTATGTACGTTTTTTATTTTTTCCATATTAAACTTTTAATTTACTATTTGAGTTAGATATTTTTTTTAAAAGTTAGATTTTTTAAGGTTGGAATTAATTATTGTGAGAAATTTGTGGGGGAATAAAGATTTGTAAAGAGATTTGTGGGGGGAGATGTTGATTTTGAAACATGAGGGTACTATGGTAATTTTACATTTAAAAATTATGAAATTATTAATAAATAAAGAAGAGTGGGTCATCGATTATGTTTTTTCAAAATGAGGTCAAAGTGAATTATGGGAGGGATCAAAATTTCAAATTTCCCAACATTGACCGAGATAATTATTTATTTTTATATTTATCTTTTTTAATTGTCAAACATTTAAGGATGGAAAGACAATTTAAGTTTTCACGGATGTAAGGATTTTTCATATTTTAATCTTTTATTTGACCTAGAAATTAGAATACTGACGTCAGCGGCCGGTTTGCGATATGAGAACTGAAGAAGGAAAAAAATGGCAAGTCACTATAAATAAATCAAACACCTTCCAGATTTTAGCCTGTGGATAGAATTTATCTGCAGAATTTCACCCAAATCTTGCACCATTTTCGCGGAAAAGGTATTTTTTTCTGATTTCATACACTGTGTGCTCTGTTCTTCTCTTTTGATCCGATATAGTTCTCTCGGTACTCTACTGTTTCTGTTTGAATCTCCAGCGAAGTTCATTTCCAAATCGTCACAAACTGTTTGAAGAAATGCCCGACTTAATCGGCCAATTAACTTGATTTTGAATCAAGATTCTAACGCCATCTGTTAATTTGTAGTCTAGTCTGACCTAGTTTCTCTGACGTTCTTGTAGGATGGGATTGCTTCCGCTCGCCTCCATTAATTGATGAACTAGTCTTATAATTTCGAAAGCCAGTGTTATTACAATCGTCGGATATATTTGCATCTGGGAAATTTCTTAATTTTGTTTCTATGTGAAGTATTTAAGATGTCAGCTACATTTCCCACATCATTAATAGTTTCATCTTCTCATTCCAATGAATTTATTAGGCTTTGCTTCTTGAAATCCAAAGGGAATGCTTCTTTCAATTCTAATTTCCGCTTTGTTGGTTGTAAAGTTCCATTTACGGAAAATATCCAGGCAACCATGCTAAAATTTGCTTCCCTAAAGGGTGTGAAACCTGCTTATCAGTCCCTTTTTGAAGACAACATTATAATTTCTGATTGGGAGGATCAAGAAGGGGACACTGAAGAGATGGGGTCACCTTGGGAAGGAGCAGTTACTTATAAGAGGAACTCTTCAGTTTCTCATGTGGAGTACTGCACAACATTAGAGAGGCTTGGATTTGAAAAGCTTTCGACCGATGTCTCGAAATCTAGAGCATCGAAGATGGGTCTGCGGGTAACAAAGGCTGTGAAAGATTATCCATTCGGAACGCCTGTTCAAATCTCTATTGATGTTACAAGGAAAGAAAAAAAGTTGAGGCTTGATGGGATTGTTAAAACTGTCATCACTCTTGATTGCTATAGGTATTTCACTTACAAATTAGCTCCATATATACGGCATTTCTATTTCAATCAACTCGAACATAATATATGTAATCATTTTTCATTCCATGTATGTGCCAAAGCAAAAACACTATGTTATGATGCACATCTTCCTATATTCAAGGTACTCTCTGTTCTGTTATTAGATTGCCTTCGATTTGGTTTAATCAATTTTGACTATTAAATTACAATCTAACTGGTTTTAGTTGTTCTCATAGTCACATCTCTTGTTGAACTGGGATAAAGTATTTGCTTTGTCTGTTTCTTCTCTTACCCTCCGTATCAACCTACTTTGTTTATCATAATTTCTGTTGTTCATCATTGGGAAGAAAAAAGGAAGAAGAATTCTGTTAATATGATGAATGTAGACGGGTCTTTTGCTTGATTTATTTTTGATTTGCAATCTGAATCATGCTGCTAAAGTTGTGGTTTCTTTCTTTTTTGTTTATGTTGCAGGTGTTGTGAACCTGCTGCTGAATGTGTTTTCTCAAATTTTTCACTTATACTGAGCGAGGAACCGATTGAGGAACCTGAGGTCATAAACATGGGAATCATCAGTGGGCAGGATAAGTTCATGACATTCGATCAAAATAGTGATCAAGATGATGAAGAGTTGATTGATTTGGATGACCAACTCTACTTTCCTCCTGTAGAGAAAGAAATAGATATATCAAAGAACATAAGAGACATTTTGCATCTGGAAATCACAATGAATGCGATATGCAACCCGGGATGCAAAGGTATGTGTCTGAGATGTGGTATAAATTTGAACATTGGAAGTTGTAACTGTAGTAAACAGGATGTAAAGAAGAATGATTTTGGTCCTCTTGGAAATTTGAAAAGGCAAATGCAGAAAAATTCATAATAGTTGAATGCAGATCACTGTGTTCCTCAAATTTTTTATTTCCCTCTTAGGTGAGCTCTTCTACAATCATCTTTCTATAATTTCATTCCTTTTTCCTTTTGAGCTATATTCATTTAGAGCACCTACAATACTGAAAAATGTGTATTATTACTCTGCTTACTTGGGATTGAACCCAATCCCCTCTTTCTAAATTTGAATTGAATAATTTGATGTGACTCTACTCTAGCATGATAGCATGGCTGCTTTTATTATCTATTTTGTTGGAGCATTTGAATAGAGGGGTGGAGCCAAAATTTTTTTTTTAGGGAAGGGCAAATTTTGTTTACGTTCGAACTTTGCTTATATATATAATCTTTCGAGTAAAAAATTTGGGGACTAGAGTAAAACTACAAAATCTTTTTTGAGTTTGACAGGCTAAGATGGGGCAAACTCCTCCTTTTTCAGCTCTGCCCTTCATAATACGAGAAAGTATTGACATTAGGGCTTGAGTTACCATTGGAGATGATCCTTATTACACCCCTTTTTTCAGTGCTGATCATTGAAGTTTGTTCACTTGCAAAAAATGTAGTCGAGAAGAGTTTAATTTGAAGATGGGAAAATAAACTATGTTCAGCAAAATGCCTCTATATATTTAGTATTTTTGGCTCAAGCCTCCCTGTAAATCGAACTTCGTCAAGATTTTTCTTTTAATTTCGTATTATAGCCATCTCCTTGTAATGTGACGTTCTTTGATTGATTATGATGAATGTTTAGAAAAATGGAGTCTGTTCTTGGATTGATTATGATGAATGTTAGGAAAAGATGGAATCTTTGTGAAGTTAAAATCTAGAGGTGAGCATTTTACAGTTGAATGAGTTGTTCTCTCTCTTTCGAAAGTATCTTTATAGCTAACTCTTGTGAAGAATTTGATCCACGATACAATGTCATAATTTTACAAAAAAAGTCTTTAGTACACAAAGATTGTTGCGATACAATGTCATATTTTTGGAAAAAGTCTAAGCACACAAGATCTCGATTTCGCTTAGCTTTATCGGACTGTCATCTGTAGTTTAAGTTTTCTGAGTCTTTTTTCAAAAGTTGAATAACATTTTTTAGGCAACTAAAAAAAAAGGTTTCAAATGCATCACTTCCCAACTTTTGAACAATTAGTTTCTTATAAGATCATCTTCTAGTTGATTGTAATGTACTCACAGTCACCTTCTTTAGCTGGGCAGTTTGAACCGTTTTGTTTGACAAAGATCGAAATTTCAGTCCCGACATGTTAGTCTGGGTTGGTTTTAGCTCGAAACCAATCTGAACCACTAAAATTTCTGGGATGGGGAGAAAGGTTTCCTTGATTAAGAATTTCAAGCAATCTTCTTAGTAATTCTTCTCCTGCTAGGGAAACAAAACAAGTTATCACTTTCTTTTCCTTTTTGGAACTAAGGCTCAGGTAACATATCAATTACATATACAGAGCATGGAGAATCTTACAACAGACGTGAATTTCAAACAAGAAAACAAAAATGCTTCTCTAAACCATTCTAGATTCAGCTGACCTGTTGAGAAAGAAGAACAAGCAGTCCTTGGGGACCGAGCAATATCTCGTTGAGGAAACTAACCAATCCGAACCAGACAACAGGCGTTACGTCAACTCCGCCAAGAGGGGGAATCACCTTCCTTGTCACAATTAGAAGTGGTTCAGTTGGAGCATAAGCTACAACATATGGAAACTTCCCCACAGGTAACTTTGGATACCAAGACATCACTATTCTCACAATAAACAAAAACGAAAATGCCGAGAGAAACGGACCCAGAAAGCCGATTGCGAGCTTTGCCGTTGCTGGGTCGAGGTCGGCCAGGGCCATGTTTTTCGTGAAATCAGAGGCAGCCATTGATGCATCTTGCAGGGCAAAGGGGGTAGTTCTTGTACCTTCAAATGCAGCAGCTGGCTTTAATGGAGGGGTGGCAGAGGCTAATAACAGAGCAACCTTGGAAGAGGTAACAGTAGAACCCAATAAGGATGAGCTACACTGGAGCGCCTGGAATCTGTAGTTTGGATTTCTTTGAGGATGGTGCTTAAAGCCTCTCTGTTAAAGGAAACAAAGAAATAATTCTAAACATCTGGTAAATGTGATAGCAATTTTCTACAAGGATTGGAAAAAAAAAAAAAAAAACCAAAAACCATTTGCAAATAAGATTAAATACAAATCAAATACAAACATAGAATTCTTGTTCAGGTGCTGCAGTTTGTTATCAGTTCATACAAACTCTTACATTTGGTTTGATTATAAGTTTTTATCCCTAAATTTTCAAGATTTTATCCATCTCTGAACTCTCAAATTTGTGTTTATCTAACATTTGTATTTTAAAAAGTTTATCTAGTTTAATGTTTATGTGCCATGCTAACTGTATTATTTTCTTCAGAATAACATGGTTGGTTGATTTGGGGAAAATTAGGGGTCCGGCGGCATTGATGGAGATAGCAACAGAAATTTATCATACACAAAATCGAAAATTAAGAACCCTGTTAGAAACATTTCTAACGGACCAAACTCATAATTTAAGCTATATTCTTTAGAACAGTACTTAGGAAAACGGGAAAATTTCATAGAGAATTTCCAGTCACATTAACATCACCATTGGTCAAATCCTTTACCTAAAAGCTCAAAAGATGCTCGTCCAACACAATAAACCACAAGCTTCAACTTCAAAATCACACAGACAACTTGCAAAAGAAGAATAAAGGAAGAGAAACAGCAAAATCACAAAGATTCAGCAAAAACCTAGAAAATCCGTTTCAACAGCAATCGGAATTGAAAAACTCAAAGAGGAGAAAGAAAAAACCTATTACTCGAATGGAGGTGAGAGAGGAGCAGAAGGCGGCGGCGGCCATGGCTTTCGCAGACGACCTCCGATGCAGGGAAAAAGAGAACGCTATCCTTTTATCATCAATGGAGCGGAATTGGCTTCGCGCGTTGCGCCATCTGAAGCAAAAATGAAGCTCGGCCATTAAAATGGAGGATTTATCATTCTGTCACTGTCATCGTTGGGCCGGTTCAACCCGGTTCGGTCCATCAGATTTAAAGTTCTACTTTTTTAATTTCTAAGCTTTAAAAAGTTTCGCGCTTATACTTGTACACTAAAATACATGAGCTAATATTAGATCGGTCTAATCTAGGCCTAAACAATACTTAAAAACTCATTTTAAAACAAAATGAAATAGTTTAGGATATGTTTTTTTTTTCTCCTAAAATCGAGCGTAGGATATAGTTTTGAACTTATAAGTTGGAGACTAATTCATTTTGTGGTGGGTAAAGAAGTGAGAAACGTTAAGTATATAAGTAAAGGATAATATTTCCATTGAAATGAGATCTTTTTAAGTGAAACAATATAGATTTAAACTCAAAGAGAAAGTATCATATATGGCATTTAAAGCTACGCCTTAGGCTTGACTGTGTAGATGAATCTCTATTGGATCAAGGGGAAGATTGTTTATAAGGGTACGACAAAAAATTAAGCGTTTGGTATCTTATAATTGAGTTGGCCATATATTTGATACCTTTCTTCATTCTCCTTTCTATCTAATTTTCTCCTATCTTCCTCTTTTCTAGCAAATTTCGTCGTCCATACATATTTGGAAACTTCCTCTAAAAGAGGAAGAAGGAAGAAGATAATCCGATTGTCAAATGAGTAATTTAACTGCCACATCATCTTAAAGTTAGTCAACTAACGATCGAAGCATCTGAAGAACTATTAAGAACCATTTTACAAACCTCAACAACTAAAATAGACACCTATTCTAAACTTCAAAGACCAGAAGATTTTGTCCTTTTATCTTCTATAGTTAAATTAAAATGCAAATGGTTCATTTTAAAAATAAAAATAAAAAAACTACAAGGTTGATCTCTCCCATCAAGATTTTAGTTTCAATTTCGTCTCTGTAATTTATTTAAATTTTACAAATGATAAAATATAAGTCAAGAGGAAAAATATATTGAAAATCTGGAGAAGATGTTGGGTTCCTATTTATAAAATGTTAACACAAATTGTATACACATCATGAAAACCTTTTAATACATAAATTTGCATTTAAAAAATTTAGTAAGTTAAGCTTAAAAAAAGTGAAATACTAAAATATTGATGGAAATAAATGAGACAAAAAAGAAATATGAAGAGTCGAAAATGATAATTATTTAAAAGTAAGAGACAAAATGAATGTCTTGAAAGTATATGGGACGAAATGAACATGACCACCATTTTGAAAGTATATAGACCAAAATGAATCAAACGAAAAATATAACAATCAAAATGAATAAAAAGGAAACTATAACCACCAAAATAATATTTAAATAAATTATAACGACCAAAATAATATTTAAAAAAATACTCAGAGAAAGTTAAACCTATTAATATAAATCCTGGTGTCATCAAATTACTGGTACACACGCGTGGACAACGAGAATTCTTCCTACAACTAAGAATTATTGGTGAGGTTATGCCCTTAAAATTCGTAGGCATTAAAATCTGTGAACCAAAAATATTTGAAGCAGTCTAAATTTGTTGAACTTTTCTAAATATAACTTCTAATCAAACAAGTATATATAGGGCTTCCAATCATCCGAAAATCCCAAGCACCAACAGGTTCTACATTATCCAAAAAAACAAAAACAAAAAAAAAACAAGAAAAGAAAAAAAAAGAAGAAGCAGCTTCTGCATAATTTCTTAATAAACCATCATCTCCGTTGAAGACATAATTCACCATGACAATGGCGAGAGGCTCTAAGCTTTTTCACACCCTTTTCTTAGTGTTTGTTTGGCAGTTTTGTTGGGAGGTGGGTGCCACTTTCAATGATATCACCGGC